AGAAATGAAAATAGTTGTAAGATAATATATAATTTTGTGTAGCTGTTTTGTATGAATCAATATAATAAATTATTTTAATATAAAATCCATCATAAAACAATACAACGTGTTATTACTTGAATTATATTTAATAAACTAAATTGATATTATTGAAAAAACAAACTAAATATTTTAGAATTAATGCCGTAAATCTGTGCCGAAATTTCAAATAGCAAATATGATCGAACGTTAGAAATAATATATTTTATAAATTCATTTGCTTCGTATTTGTGTTAAAAATATTTTATAAATGCGTTAAGCTCAAAAATTTGTTTCGCCTTATTCAAATTAACTATCTTCAATAATATGTCGCTGAGATTGATTATTACATAAAAGTAATTGATTAAATTCTCAAAAATCTATGCGAATTTAATGCTCATATTGTCTAAATTTTTTCCAAAATTTATATAATATTATTCTGTAGTTTTTTTCAACATATAAATTAATAAATAAGAAGTTTCTATCTTTATTTTTTTTTTGAATATTTTTTGAATTTTTTTGAAAATTAATTTGTCATAAATTTATAAATCTGCGTTTTAATTTGTCAAGAAATTTGCTCAAAATATTTGTTCCACCTTATCGATGTAGCCAATTACTATGATAATCGTTAATAAATAATTGCATTTATTTTTCATTACATTATTAAAGTGTTGTAATATATTTAACTTCGTCATAATTAATATATAATTATGAATCATTAATCATCGAATGAAACTTTAAACTCGATGGCCTAAATTTGTTTATGATATTATTATTGAAAAAATTCTTAATTACATAATTAACTTCACTCCAAATATCCAAAGAATATTTAAAATGAAAATTAAAGGATTCATTTGAACGTCTCAGTACATATTCTGTTTTACCTGTACAGCTGAAAATTATCATTCATTTTCGCTCCATCGTATATGTACTTCGTATTGACCCATTTATTTAACCGTTGACATTCATTGTAAAACGAATACCCTTGATTTACCTTCGCTTTATTAAGGTAGATATTATTTATCATTATTATTTATCATAATGAAGGTAGATCTTGACATCTGCAGTAGCGAATACTTCTTTGATGTCTCTTACATTTTTTACATTTACTTGCATTTCCCTTAGAAACTCGTCTCAAAGTTTTGAATATTTTTTACAAATTTTTTTTATACCATTCTTTCACATTAAATAATTGATATTCTAGAGACGTTTCCAAATGTTTTAACAATTGCCCTTTCTCACACGATTCTTTATTTTTATTATTATTATTATTTTTTTTTTTTTTTTTTTTTTTTTTTTTTTTTTTTTTTTTTTAATTTAATTGGTAATAGTAAGATTCTGAAATACTTTTTTCACCTACACAGTTGCGATATAGTAAAGAAATCAAATTTGTCGAATAAAAGATTTAAAAATATAATCATTGTAATTATTTATCGCATTCAACTCTTATATTGTCATTGTAATATTGTAATACATGTAACGGTGATTAAGTGGTAGAATAAAATTTTCAACTAATATTTAATTTAACTTTGAACAATAATTTTGTCCCGAATACATTCACTTTTACACCAATTTATTAGACTTTATACAAAAATTTAATCTTATTTCTTTCATGGTACAGAATGTTCGTCAATCATATTATGGAGAAATCGTTCGATACACTTTCTTTATTTCAGTTAAACATAACTTACGCCATAGATAGTCCTTATTGTGAGTTATTAATTTTATGGGGCAATTTATAATTTGCATTACGCAAATTCGACCTTCGGTTGGCATAAATCTATTTTATAATACACATTTGTACTTTCTTTATTGCACTACATGCTCGTTTCGTAATCAGACAAATTTACTCCCTCTTGGAACTATCGTTCATCATTCCCAAGCCTATCATTTTTATCTGCTCCATTTATCAATTAATTTTTGTTTCCGGTAGCGCTTAATCATTATTTTTCATAATTATATACGAAGGAGATATTAAAATTCGGATGGATTTTACATTCGACGGCTCTTGGAAAGTTTCGCAAATCTATTTTAATTTTTATAAATTAACAATAATATAGTCAAGCCTTGCAGTTGAATAATTTCAATTATCAAATTAAACAAAAGGAGCGCGCGCGCGCGCACACACACACACACACACACACACACACATATATATGTATACAGTGCGGTTGTACAAGTTTCCTTGTTCTAAAATCCCGTCGCGTTCTCTTAAACAAAACTGTCCAATGAATTCCCTCGTCTAGAGCACCGAAATTTCATACATGTTTTAGTAAATTTCAACATAAAGAACTGTCTTTCTCCTATACGAAAACTTGAATATATGCGGAAGTAGTGTTGAGTATAGTTTTTCTCGAAAATAAGAAGGGCTAATTTCATCGTCAAATTTATCTTCTTCCTTAAAGAATTTTTTGTTATTGTTGACGTATTTTACTAGATCCAAATCTGAAATGTTTCTTCTATTTTACTATTATTATAATTTATTTCTATCTTTTTGTTTTGAAGTACTATAATACAATGCATTGATGTAATTCCACTTTTCAAATTCTAGAACTAATAGTTTGATCATTTAAGGAAAAAATATCTTAATGTCATTGTAATTAAAAATATACTTTCTCGTCTCATAAAGTGCGCCGTAAACGATAAATAGCAAATAATAAAGGGGATAAAATAACGAGGAGACATTTCAAATGTTAAGACACGGAGTTAAATGTTCGCTTGTGCATTCGTCTCGAGTGATTAAGATTTCCATCAACCTCGTAATTCGCGCCTGTTCAGCTATTTAAGTACACTGAGCTTAATCTCGCATGTGACTACGAACGCCTATGCTCTTTAATAAATATAATATATTTTAACAGAATTTTCACACATGACACGGCTAATTAGCATAAAAAAGTTGCACATATTAATTATCAATACATTATTGCGTATGGGTAACAATATTACACAGCCATACAGATCACTTAACAAACTGATATAATGCAATTACAATCTATTGAACAATTATATAATGTATATCTTGCGATATATATGCATGGAATTACGTGGATAATGATGATGGATTATTGAGAAATGTGTAATTTTCTAAAATACTAAGTAGGTGGAAAATATTGATCAATAAGTCACTTTTCTCCTATAATTGCTAGCACTAAATAAATCCGGCCGATGGAATGTAATAATAAAAAGGATTTCTGAACTTCCTCTACAACACGCTTGAAGAAGGAGAAAGGTACCCCAGGCACGCAATCTGTTTCATTTGAACAAAAAAAACAAAAAAACAAAAAAAAAACAAAAAAAATCACATAACCTTTTCTTTCGATAACCGCTGCCCAACCCAATGTAATTGACCACAACTCTTACGTAATCCAAAACGATATTCCCCATGGCACTTTATATGCACACATACCGGTAAGATCGCGTACACGTACGACCGTATATCGTCTATTGGGTCGACCCATTCGCAAACGCAATGATAATTTACGGGGAGTTAAGCATCCCACCATATAGGGTTAGTTCGAATTAGCCCGCGATTAACGGCCCGAATGTTAATTGATATTGGCATAGGCGACCGCCTGCCAGAAACTCTGACCTAGCCTAACTCGCGAATGATACGTTAAGGATGGTATATGGTAAAATAGAGCGAAGATCATTGAATATTTACAATTTTACGTTAAATTACAGAAGTGTTATTGATCGCGTTGTCGAAAATAAATGACGGGAATGTGTGTTAGCACAGTGAATTGCTGGGTATGGTAAAAGTATATACTTTCTAATAAATATGTTAATGTGTCGATTGCCGACTGAAAAATGAATTTATATAAACAAAATTGTCAATTTTTATCCGCTCGAGTCCAATAAAAACTTTACGTAAACAATAACATTGTATTATCGATATATATATATATATATATATATATATATATATATATACTTGACCGCACACATTATCAAGAAAACTCGTGAAAATTATTGGTACGTTGGTACGTTAGTCAGTATTTATAATACAACACAATCAATACTATACGAATTTCATAGCTGTATAAAAATATTATGATAAACAACGTGATATCATTTTTTTTTTTTTTTTTAATTATTTTTTGTTTATCCCAAATTTCATATACGAAGGTGATTTTTTCATTGAAAATATTTACAACAAGTTTGTTATTTGCAATGTAAACAAATGTAAACAAAAGTAAAAAATTAATAAATAAATAACGGTCGAGTCAAATTCTCCAAAAATTTTGATGGCTAAAGCAATTGTTAATTCAGCGCTTGTTACGAAAATTTACACGATATTACATTAAATATAAGAATTGTTTATATTAACGTAAAGACTTTCGTTACGATTGAGTATAAATTATTCAACCAATTAATTAATCCAGTTACACAGCATACTCGGAGAATTAGAATAAATTCATTAAAACGAATATCACATATCCAGGAGCGATATGAACATTTACTTTAAATTTAATATTACACGCATTAAATACGTGTGTCGCATCGAACGTGAGAGGAAACTTGAAAAATAATGGCGAAATAAAGAAAGTAAAAAAAAACGGCCAAAATTACGCGCGATACAATATCAGTCAGCGGATTTCCTCAGATTATTCCATAATAGCGAGATAAAAAGCTCGAAAGAGTTTAGCAATAAATAAGAATAATCCATCCAAGAGTTTAGGGTGTCCCGAAGCTTATCTTACATCTCTAAATCATATCCCTACTTTGCGCAAATTACTTCCACTCGTCCCTCGCTAATTCCATCTCTCGTCTCCTGTGCTCCTGCCAAGCGCGTGACGCCGTCCCCTCCCCCTAACTCCCCAAGCCCACCATCGAATCCAGCGACTATATTTCCTCCAAGCTTATACACGCGCACGCGCGCACGCACACACACACACACACACACACACACACACACATATATATATATATATATATATATATATATATATATATGAGTACCAAGAAATGTGTAAAATTTGCAGCGCTACCGGAGGAGGGTCCTATCATAACGGGCAGATCGGGCAGGCATCGCTATCAAGTTTCGGATGTCGTGCGATTCAACTGCACGTCCGCAAAGTCCAGGCCGGCGGCAATGCTCAGTTGGTTCATCAATGGAGAGCCGGTAAGTTGCGACTCGCAGCCTCCTTTGTACAGTATCCCTGTGAATGTGTAAGGGGAGCTTACGGCAACTTCAAGCTAATCAATTTGCGTGGTTAAGTTGTCGGGTGGTTTGGGGGGGGGGGGGGGGGGTGCAGGAGCGTGTAGCGGAGGCGGTCAACGGCCGAGAGTGAGAGCGTAAGAAGAGAGGATCGTTCCTGACCCCCTTGGGAGTCGAGGTCTTCGATAATAATTTGCACTTCCTCGTTTGGAACAATTTTCCCGGATCGAGTCCTTACAGTACAGATTGCACAATTATTGTTACGCTTTTGTCGATTGCGAAATTCGTAGATGCTTTGAAATATTCTTAAAATTTAATCATTCTGGAATGGATATTTTTTCTTCTTCTTATTCTTCTTCTTCTTATTCTTCTTCTTCTTCTTCTTCTTCTTCTTCTCCTTTATCTACATTTTATATTTTTTTCGTTTAATAAAGATTGCATCTTGTAAATAAATAAAGACTTTTAACGGATTTTTTTTAACGTCGTGAATTATTCATACTATTGATAAATTCTATATCAAATTATAAAAAGTACATTCGAGATAATATAATAATCAGTTATTTTCGTGTAAAATTTGGTTTCTGTTTTTTTTTTTTTTTTGCTTTTTTTTACGGTACATATTACAAAATATTATAATTATCGTTATAATATCATTAATCAAATTTAAGCCTGAAATTTTTGTTGCAGATAATTTCTCATGACTCTGATATTTTAAAGTTCGATGATATACTTAAATAGCTTGACCAATGCTATTTAGTAAATTTAATACTTTATCTCATAACGTTGTGATAAATAACTAAAATTAAAATAATGAATGAAAAAACTAATGAAATTGCCTTGTATGATGTCTCCAATTGTTTAGCGTCAATCTAACATTATTTATTATATATTGTTATTAGTTTGTCACACGGAAAAATATCGGATAAAATATATATATATATATATATATATATATATATATATATATATACCTATTGAATTTCTGATTTGTGATTTATGATTTTTAAGAATACTTTGCTACTTACTCCAACATTGTATCTCTACATTGTAATTATGTAATATAGTATTGAGTCAATATTGACGAAGTAAAGTCCTTCAAAGATTTACCATAATTCTAAAACTTCAATTCTGCAATTTAAAATAAAATAAAGTTGTGACCGATTGTATTAAATTTCTATAAATTTCAGTAACAAATCCATAGATGTAGAGAATTGGAAATCAGATTTGGCAGAAGATTTATTCATCAATAAATGATGTTTTGTTATCGTTGACTAAAAAGTTCAACATTCGTGTGGGTTCAAAGAGAGAAATAAAATTAAAAATGACAGTGACAAAAAATCAATTATATTGAGGAGATTGACATCGTCGTATGTCGAACCGCCGGATTTACCAATAAATTTCATACTCTATATCGGAATTTTAATGTTTAAAGTCAACATTTAACGTAAACCAGCGCGTATGAGCTACGATACTCAAGTATAAAAAAAATCAAGACATAGAACACGAAACAATATATGATGGCCTTTAATGTTAAAATCCAAAATTAGTGAGAAATTATTTTATTAATGTTATTACATCTTTGAAACTCGTGTCACATTGCTATTGATAAATTCGGCTTTTTATTGTAACCGGATTTTCATTTCGCTTAAATTAATAACTACACGAATGCATATACGTAATTAAAGGTGTAATAATTCGTTTCTTATGATTGGTTAAATAAAAATTTGTTCGAACGATAAATCGAATAAATTGAGTATCGAGTGCTTTACAAAAATACTTTTAACAAAATGTTTTGAGAGACTTTCACGCAAAATCGATATTATCGTAAATTGAGTTCGTCCTTTATAATATCGAGTCATTAGAGAAATCTTCCCAATAGCATCGCACGCAGCAAAAAAAAAAAAAAAAAAAAAAATACTACTCGAGCTTTCTATTTGCATTTATATTTATTATTATGTACGGATGAAAAAAATAATAATAATTATGGAATAATGTATGTTAAGGGGCACTTGGTAAATGGAAAAGCGCGAAAATACTTGGTTTTATAAAATGCCGTTTCAGTTTATTCGAAATGAGAACTATATAAATTCGGAGCACAGACGGGCTATTCTCAACTAAATAAGATAAAGATAAAGATAATGATTTAATCGATTACTCGAATGGGGCTGGAAAATACGTGGGGAGGTAAAAATGTTGCATAAAAATGTTAGCAATCGTTCAGGAGTGTGCCATTAATTGCCAATGGCCAAGGCCGAGAGCTCCCAGCTCACCTAATTAATACATTTATGGCGCTACGGGTTTTGCGAACGGCTGGGAGAGGGGGTTAGTAAGGGGTGTAAATCTTCAAAAGTCCAAGTAAACAAAGCCGAAGGTAGATGAGCGGAAGCATCACTAATGGAGCGCGTTGATTCGTATTGGTCCTGACAGGTGGATCAGTCGCTGTTGCGCGGACCCCACGTGACGGAGATCGACCGCGAGGGTCTGGAGACGATCGTGCTGGGCTTGGAGTTCCGGATACGCACGAAACACTTCAAGCGGGGCGATATGAAGATAAAGTGCCTAGCCAGGATAGCGACCGTCTACTGGAAAACCAACGAGCTGAGCATCGAAAGCTACCGAACGGAGAACAAAGCGCCGGTTATGGAGAGTCGGGAGACGAGACCACAAGGCCACACGCACGCCGAGCACATACTTGGTAAATTAACTGGGCGACTCACGCACCCACTCACGCATGTGCACACGCACGTGGTAGCTAGTAGCTAACGATTAAGGAGCGCTTATTAAGCATATTTACTCTACACATGCACCGGGCGTATATTCGTTTGCAGTTTGTTTTTGAATTATTGTTCATAACGGAGGAGTGCGGTTTTCGGTCAACGGGAGGGGAAGGAGAGTAGATGGGGAAACGCTTGGAGCATAAAAAGCTTTGGAACGAGAAGACGCATTGGTATGGAGCGAATGTAAAGTTCCAGTGGCGATAAAATTTTGAAAGATCTATAAAAAGAGATTGGTGGTGCGCTAGTCTAGCGAAGCATTTGCAATCGACTAATCTACGGCCATAATCTCTACCTATGGGAATTTCAAGTTTTATTTTTAAATCAAACTTCGTTTGAACGAGCTACTTTATAATGTAGACGAGTTTCATGAAAAATAGGCATAAATTGCCTTATTTTGTATCGGAAAAATGAAAAAAAAGTACCTCCCATTCCTACCATTTACGGCTGCATCTCTAATAATGTGTTTCTATTTACGAAAGTTATTAACAATCGAATTAACCTTCATTCGATCGACCGATGCTTCTTAATTTATATTCTAGATTATCGTTCGTAGTATTAATTGCTTCTAGTCACTTTTCCCCCTCAATTCTTCATTGTGATTGTATCGCAGACGTATATTACAGTTGGAAAATGGTTTTCTCCGTTGAAGCAGTCGCTTAAATTTTGTTTTTTTTTTTTTTTTTTCAACTTCCCTTCGAGTTTTATCTTTAGCATATCAAGAATGTAAAACACATTCCTGAGAATTATACGTTATAAGCCAATTCTCTTATATATTAAATAAATTTTCTTCCATAGAATGAATTAATTGTAAAAATTATATGCTGAATATTAAGATAAAAAGAGAGAAAAGATTAAAATGAATAATATACGAATGATAGAATTATAATTTACAATAACTATATTAATATTTTTCTATTTACCATACACGTTGCGACTATACAAATTAAATTACAATGTAATCTGTGTAATTTCAATAAACATATTACCGACTTAAAATACAAAAGTATATTTACAATAAAAGTACAAATGCACGAGAATGCTTTTTGGTCAATTTTTATGCTTTTGTATAAATGTGAAAACGTAACTCTACACCTACATGCTTGAACAATTAAATTCGTACTTTCATATATTTATCATAACCCTCACACTCAAACTATTAATTTTCAAATATGCGCATGTGTGCGAATGTATGCCTGCGTGCGTAAATGCTTGCGCGCGTGAAGTGTGTGTGTATAGGCGTGTGTGCGGGTGTGCGTACACATTTATTTGCAACATACGCGCACGCACACATACAATTTATCGCGTTCAGTGTTTGCACAAGGTTTTGCGTATATCTGAATTGGTACTAGTCATGATTACCCTGGTAAAATTACCTTGGACGTTATTTTGGAAACCTGCGGTTCCCAGGCACAGGCATGTCTCTCGCGCACACCCTCTCTCCGACTCCCACTCCTTCCCACTCGCTCACCCGTTCCCTCTCTTACGACCGTTTCTATGCGACCCACTCTTTCTGCGCCCGTATAGGCCTGTGTGTTTGCGTGCGTGCACATGTGCGTGTAAATGAACTAACTAAAATATGAAAGCGTAAGATTAATAGACATATTGCTTGCGCAAAAATTGATGCGCTCTTGATAGAAAATGCTCCCAATATGCTCCCAATATGTCGACATGGAGGTGTGCACACAATTATATGCGTGCATGTTATAAAAAATAGGAGTCTCCAATGAATTCACTAAGTACATCCCGTTACACGAGTTTATTTATACTCACTTTTCCTCTTCTTCTTTTATCGCAGAGAAATTACAATTCTCTGTGTAATTTCACATTTTCACTCGTTAAATAAAACTATAGTCATAGTAATTAACTGTGGCTCCCTAAATGATTAATCTCTATCCTACATCGTTATTAGAAGATAATATGCTGTGCTCAGCTAGTAATAACAGAAATATACACTTTATTACACATGTCTCGTGATGTCTTAAAAAATTCTTAACTTTTGGCTTAAATATGATGCTATATTAGTTAACATATTCTAAAATCGTGTGTATCATATAATGTTAATATTTGTGATAATCATTTTTTACGTATATTATAATTTTAAAAAATTATCCCTAAATTTAACAATATTTCATGATCAATTTTATGATATTTAAATATTACGTTTATTGTACATGAATATTATATCGTATACGCCTATACTTGTATTATTTATTGGGAGAAATCTAATGGATTAATCTTAAATATATGCTATTCGTATATTCCGTGTATTTTTTTATAAGGAAAATATGTTAATTATATAATACTTAAATAATTAATTTATTTAAAAGCAATCTTATTTATTATTTATAATTATATAAGTAGGAAAAGAAATAGTAAAATAAAGCATCGTATTAAATGAAAATATCAAAGCATATCAATATTGAGTTAATACATTGTTGTCATCATAATAGTAATTGTCATCGACATTAGTAAAATAAAAATTCTTGAAATTATACAAATTGATGTTATATTTACGTATTAGACATGAAAAATTATCTGAAAAATTCATTTTAGCATTATGCATTTAAAGAGTAATATATGCTTTTTTTTTTCTTTCTTTATTTTTTTTTTTTTTTTTTTTTTTTTTTTTTTTTTTTTTTTTTTTTTTTTTTTTTAAATAATTGTGAAATCCATAAGAACGGCACTTTCCGACATAAATATAATATGAATAGCAATATGTTTAAATATGCATCTACTTTCTCACAATCAATAATCTTAAAATTAGCAGGAAATATTTATAAAAATTATAATCTCTATTAACTAGGTTATATAATTTTTAATTCATCTATCCTATCGATATTCTTCTATTTTACAATATTTTGTATCAAAAGAGTCGGTAAATATACACCATAGCATTACCATACCATACCTTACCTACTATAATGAAGCAGTTAAAATACCTATGATCAATTTGATTTTAAACAATGATTCATAGACTTGTGCCCCTATTCCTGGAAAACTAGCGCATGCAACTCCTATTACGCTCGTGTCAATATTCACCAGCACTTAAAAAATGTGAAAAATTGCTTGCCTCCTGCCACATCCACCATCAATATAAAAAAAAAAAATAAAAAAATAAAAATAAAGAAAGAAAAAACAATTGAATAACA